TTTGTCGTAGGTCAGTTGGCGTTTTGAGTACCAGTACCGGAAGCCCTGTCCGTATAATTAAATAAATTGGTGGGTATAAAAAAGTGTCTTTCCGGTCAAGACTGAAATGATCTCACAAGTTCTGATCGGTTCTCCATCGATAATTTCAAATTGCATTGATACTCTACTAGAGGGGAGGGTTGAGTAGGGGTATCATGGGACCGGTGGCATTTGACGTGAGGACGATGCCTTTGTTGTTGCTGCTGTTTGCTATAAACTAACTATAACAGAAGGAACTTCTAAACTAAACAATAGTAGGAATGTTGGAATACAATGATACAGTTGGTCCTAGGTTATATATATATAGGTTAGTATGCATATTGCGCATGATAAAATAAAGTAATAGTAGAAATATGATATAGTAGTAGTTGTAGATCCAAACAGAAAAAGATCTTTCTGATTGCTAGACGACCATTGCTGGTTGCTGTTGTTGTTGCTGCTGTTGGATGTAATGTTTCAAAAGCAAAATGCTTCTCCTCCAAGTTTTCTCTCCAACCACCTTTCGAAGTCTAGGAGTGGCGGAATCGACCAAGGATGTAAAATTGGGATCCCCTTGACGATTTCGTTGGGTACATTCCCGAATCACCTTTTTGCAATGAAAGGTAATGGCATCCTGAGCCTTGGCCTGTTTCAAAACTTTGAAAATGATCTGCACCAATATCAAAAAGTGGCGACGTTTCTGAGCTTCTGAAGTAACATTCTTGCTAACGGCAGCATTCGATGCTGCACTTTGCTGCTGCTGCTGCTGATTTACAACAGCTGGAACGCTAGGTTTTTGCGCATTTTCTTTAGACTGTTGTTGTTGTTGTTGTTGTTGAGCCATCTGCACTTCGGTAGGGATCTTGTTGTTAACCGGAGATTGGTGATCCCATGAAAGAGGGCTGCCCGCTGCTGCATGGGACATGGAAGAAGAGACTCCACAATCTGTACAGCAGGATGAATCACTAGGACAAGGAGTGACAGGATGCGCTGAGGTGTCCGCATCCAGTGCTTGCACCAAAGAAGTAGACAAGTTGGTCATGATGTGCCATTGCTTTGGTTCGGTACCTTTTGACGATTCTCCAGCACAACTAGGACTAATAATACCTCCAGAAGTATCATCAATGCTCAGTTTTCGAATGCTAGTGTCCATTCCATTGTAACTACAAGCTGACTCCATTGGAAAAACACAAACCTTGTAGTTTTGTGTTTTTCGTAAAATGGAGCGACTTTTGACTTTCGGTACCCCTCGTTCCCATTTGCTTCTGTTTGAGTCATTACGGTTTTCGATTGCGAATTTTCGCGAACTCTGTCGAAAGAATAACCGTCGGACTTTGTTTCTTATTGCGTAGAAACCACTCTGTTTAATGGTACGGTCTTTTTTAAATTCTCCGTATCAGTCGATGATATTCTTTAGTGGTTCTTCAAGAGAACAACATTTAATTGCCACCTTCGACTCTTCTCCCATAGAACGATCGCATCAACTCTTTTCGTGCGCACTGAAATGGATGACACGTCAGTGAGATTTCCGACGCCACATCACTCCCCAGTTGTCCCCGCGACATGATCAGACAGACAGACCATGACAAAACGAACTGGAAATTACAGTGATGTCGTATTTTTTGGGGTTTCAGACGACATCAGCAACCACCACATACCTTCTTGCACTTCTCATTACAGTCGCGTCAAGGAAACCTGCACCTACTTGCAGCATTGTGCCATTACCCTCTCTTTCATTTACTTACATTGACATCAGGTTCTGTGCTCGCATTTTAAAAGTACCTCCTACAGATCGAAATTGCTACTCTATTCACAAATAAGATTCTTTTATAAATTCAATCATGTTGGCAAGAAGTGCGGTGCGAAAAGTTCCAGCTTGTCTCAAACCGAGAAATGTCCCAACTTCAAGAACAAAGGCTACCAATAGAGCCCCAATAAATCAAATCATTGTAAAACACTCTGAAATTGCCAATGGATCTCTGAAACGCAAAGCACCTGCCTGTGGATGGCGTAAGACGATTGTTTCGTCATCTTCGTCGTCGTCGTCACCATCATTTTCATCCGTCGTCGATGATGACGCCGCCGGAACGAATACCAACACGCCAGATGAGATCAGTATCGGCAAAGAACGATTTGAAAAATTAGAAGTCGACATGGAAGAATTACAAAAGTTAGCGGCCATGAGGTGCACACCTCTCAGTTTGGCAGACATGTACAAATATGCTGTCGATTTCAGCAATCAAGAACAACGCCTTCGAAATGCGCAATTTCTACACAAGGAATTGCCCATTCGGATTGCCCAACGGGCCGTCGACTTGTTGACTCTGCCACACGGATTGAGTGATGCACATCCTGTCCAACAAATTGCCCACATGTATTTGTCTTACCTGCAGAAATTTCAAGAATTTCCAGTGCCCACGACACCGGAAGAAGAACACGAGTTTACCGACTTGCTTCAAAAAATTGTTGTGAATCGGTCTTCCATCCCCAAGGCCATTGCTCGCGGAGTGGACGTGTGGCGCAAGAACCATGGTCCAGCTGAACTGCAGGTGGTCCGATTGCAACAAATGGAAGAAGCCTTGTATCGATTCTTTACGGCTCGGGTGGGACTCCGATTCTTGATCGAGCATCACATTTTGACTTCGCCGCATCATGCGTCACGGAGCTTATTGCAAAAATCACACCCCAGCATGTCGGAAAATGAAGACATGTTTGGTTGCATCCAAACAGATTGCGATACCATTCGTGAGATTAAAAATGTGGTGGAAACGATTACCATTCTCACTCAAGATTTATTTGGAATCTGTCCAGAAATACAAGTTGTTGATGCCACGCAAGGGGAACATGATTCCAAGTTTACCTATGTGCCACATCATTTGCAATACATGGTGGGGGAATTGTTGAAGAATTCCTGTCGTGCCACTGTCAAAAGGTAAGTTTTCCATTTTAATGATATTGTGGAGTTTGTGTGCCATTGCTATTGCCGTTTCCATTTTCTGATTTCTTACGCCTGTCGTTGTCTCGTTTATCCAACTTTTTGCTTGCTTTAGATACCTTGAAAGTGAAGCCAATGGCGAAACAATTCAAATGCCACAAATACGTGTCGTGGTAGTCAAGGGAAAAGAGGATGTTACCATCAAGGTTGCTGATCGAGGTGGGGGTATTCCTCGGTCGCAAATGTCCAATATTTTGCGATTTGCCCAAAGCTTCTCAACCGAAGACGACAACAAGGGGTCTGTCCTGGATTTTGATTCGGACGACGAAGTCACGGGTACGACCAATCTTCGTGGATTTGGACTTCCACTGGCCAGAATTTACGCTCGGTATTTTGGTGGAGAACTGACACTCAAGAGCATGGAAGGATATGGATTGGATGCCTACTTGCAATTGCCTCGGTTGGGAGATTCTTGTGAAAACTTGCCACTGCCTGTGAAATTCAGTCCAGGAGAATTGAACTCGAATCCACCGCGACGAGTGGGCGGGGCACTATAGAAGAATTGTAAAAATGAGACAAGGAATTGAATCCATAAAATGAATCCAGCCATTCCGTCAGGACCCGCCTGGCCAAGACACACTCGAGAGAAGCAGGAAAGAGAAACGTTAAATCCAACGTTAAATCCAACCAGCCATCCAAATTGCTTCGTTGCATACACTACGGTCTGCTACTATTGCAAATGTTGTACATAGTTTTAGTGATTTTAGTGAGATTGATAAAAATAGAACATCCTTATAATTCCGTTGCACTACAGCATGACTAGTAGTATTAATATCGTTATGCTTTCGAGAATGGCTTTCGTTGGACTAATCACTCCTGCATCCTCAAAAGCACGGAAACGTGGAGTCTTTTCAGCCCAGTTTCCTTGCAAGCTACATGAACATGGTTTAGAATAGTCAGTTGTTATATTATTATTATACCCTATATCACTGACTGTTCGTAAAAATCCATTGAAACCAAGGTCATTGCAAAGACAACCTTTTTCCTGCTGGTGGAAATGGCAGCTCTCGTTCCGCAGCATGATGATTCGCAGTCAAAATAATGCTTCCATATCATATTAACACCATTCGCACACGAATGCAATACCCATGCTGATGATACCTTGCTTGAGCAGCGCAATGTCAAAATGTTGTGGATGATGAAACCAATGCTCCTCGGGTGTCTTTTTTTTCAAATGGCACTCTTCGCAAAGGGGAACAAGTCCCTGATCTACACCGCTCACGATTGCGTTCTAGAATATTCATCCATCCTCCTCCATTATGCCGACTGTCCAAGCTGACAGTTCGACAAAGGAAACAACAACAGCAACATTAGCACCTAACCCCGAGGTGCTGTTTGTGCATGTTGACATTGTGTAAAACTCCAAGGAACATCATTGGGCCTGTTTGACAACCCGTATCGTTATCATCCTCCTCATGACGTGATAATCACCCTTCGGTTGCCTCGTTCACTGCCAATCTTGGATTTCCGAATCGTCGCTGATGTGGAGGCAACAGCAGCATTGGGGTCCACTGCCCGCAAGCCAGAACTACTGGTTTGCATTTGACCATAATATTGACCAAAGACATCGTCACTGCTTGTAGAAGAAACAGATGACTTGTCATTATCATTGTCATTATTATCTTCGTTCAATTGACCATAATAGTGATTATACATTTCGTTGCTTCCACCTGATGACATGGTATCTCTTCTATTGGCTTGGCTTTTGTTAAGGTGGTTCTCCTTCCTCTTGCTGGTTGGTCGGAGTTCTCGAATGTTGTTGAGACGAGAATTAACGTGTTCCTGTGCTGCCTTGCGGCAAGGTGCTCCCGGTTGAAAATCCGTTTCGTCGTCGTCAGGTGCTCGAGCTTCTCGAATCATCGCCCCGTCCGATTCGTAGTCGTCCTCTAGTGACTCTAGATCCTCCTCGTCTGTATATTCAAGATCCGAACCATCCCCAATCGCGTCATACGAACTGACACTTGGTGGATCTTGCATATCCATAGCAACCTCCGCATGTTCCTGAACAACATTCTTGGAGACTCGTTCTTGAAGTGCATCCAAATACTCAATGTCCGCCTTGAGTTCCCCGTTTAATATTTGATACTCTGCTTGTAATGGCCTCATCCCCGAAGCCATAGATCGATCTTCCCAATCCTTGTCCATCATGGATTGATCGTCTTGCGAAATCATCATGTCCCCAATTTCAATTCTGGCAATCTTTTCCAATAGGCGAACCACTCTCGGATCATGCTTCCCAAAATTGGCATATCGAATGTTCAATGCCGATCGATAGTACTTCAAGCAGTTTTCATCCTTGCCATTTGCCAAGTGAACGTCACCAATATTGGACATGACCGTGGCAATGTCCGGATGTGAGTCTCCCAGATTCTGGACCATGATTTCCATGGCCTCGCTGTAGGCATCGAGGGCGCCTTCAAAGTCTCGTGTAATGTAATAGACCGAACCGATATTGTTGAGAGTTTTGCCGACACTTAGATTATCATTTCCCAAAATGCGTCGTTTGATCCTCAAGGACTTTTGATAGGCTGCCATGGTTTCGGAAGCAGAAGCTTCCCCCGATCGTTGTCGGAGATAACCAATATTGTTTATGGAAGTGGCCATGCTGACTAATACTTGCGAGTCGCTCTTGGACAGTTTGGTAGAGTTTGTCAAGTCTTCGGCATCTTCTAGCATATTATTAAAAGTCCGTCGCTTCATCTTGAGTGCCTTGGAATAGCAGGCCATGGCCTTGTCGAAGTGTCCTCGTTCAAAGAGTTGATTTCCCTTGTCGTCCAAAGTAGCAGCCGCTCGTGCCGTTCGTTCTCGTTCCTTGTGCAGTTTCTGGGCCGCTAGTTTGTCTTGTCGAGTCATTTTGCGTACCACGGCCTCCGAATGCTCATCGTCCACGGCCAAGGTGTCTTCGCAGGAAGCCGATTTTCGTTTCATGACCGCGGTTTGGTCTCGGATTTTCTTGACGCGCATTTTGGGTAGAATTTTCACCATTGTTGTTGATGTTGATTGTGTGTGATGGATGGATGAATGAATGAATGCAGGGCTAAGATTGTCTCGAGGATACTATATAGCAGTAGTATTTATTCGCCTCCCTGTAGGTCCTGTCGTTCCTGTCGTTCTCTCTATACTACTCCAGAGTGCAACTCAACGAACAAGTTCCAACCAATTCCAACCAAAACCTCAAAACCACAACCACAACTCTTTCCCGAGCAAAGGTATTTTTGTGTGCGTATTGGGTCTTGCTCTGATAGATAATAGAGTCTCTATTGATGTCTCGTCTATTACTATTATATTTGGCCAGCGTTACCAAGCAATATGCGCGACACACGACTTGGTGGTGTGTACTTCTGTTCTGTTTCCGATCACAGTGCGATTGATCGGGTCTCGCTTTCTCGCTGCAAGCTTCCGGATACCTCTTGCGAGTGCTGCCGCCAGCCAATCACTACCGGCAAAAAGAATACAGGTGGGACTCCTACTATCAAATGACACATACGTTTCCTACTAGCGTTCGGCGAATTACCAGGAACCATTCAGTCATGTTTAAACGGACTTCCCTCTAAGTAAACTTGAAAATTCATTGGTAGCGGAACGCAAGTAGGACTGATCGGCTTACGATTTGTCCTCTAACGAAGGAGCCGTTGAGGGTCTAACTCGCGCGCTAGGAAATTCAAATGTCATGTGCCAACTGGAGAATACGAGTACCGGAGCAATGACCTCCTGCTGGTTGGTACCGCACTTAACACACTTCTTTTTATTGTTATATGAACAGACTTGAAGCAAGTCTAAGTGTCATCATAGCCATGTGCCTCAGCTTCGTGGGCGTAATAGTTTTCTTCTACTCCATAGTTTCGGAATCCTTGATCTGGAGTAAAGGCTTCCGCCCAACTGTCATCATCAGCATCACTATCATGATCGTCCTTATTCGCTGCTTCATCCGGATCGTCGTCGGGATAATCATTGCCACCATATTCTTCGCAGTTCGAATCAATTTCTCCATCTTCATCAAAGACATGGTCCAAGGACGCCTGATGTTTCTCCGGTGCTTCCAACACCAATTCTCCAAAGGGTGTCCAGTAGCCCACTCCAGAAGTTAGTTCGGCAGTGGTAATAGGATTCTCTTGATACAAAGTTTTGTCTTCGTTCGCCGCATCAGTAGCATTTTCAGCAATGGCCGCTTCCTCCAAATAAAATATGTCATAGACATAATTCGTCGTATCTCCCCCAAAGGCTTCCAAGACCTCACAAATCGATGTATGCCCCGACAATTCCGCCAATTCATAAGGTGTCTTACTATCCCCATCCAAGGCTTCGGCCAATTGTAGACCAGAGTTTAATTGCAACATTTCACTGGTCAATTCCACCTCGTTCCACATGGCACAGGCATGCAGCAAATTACCCCCCGCCGAATGACACCAGCTCAACCATTTGGGAATGAATTCATGGGCCAAACGAACATCTGTCTTTATGAAGGTGTAGTGTTGTCGGGCCGATTTCATGCCTTGAATAACCTCTTGCAAACTATCGTCCACCAATCGGCTCAGTGGATCCAATACTTTGAGGCCTTTCTTCTTTTTGACAGTCTTGTGGGCGGCCGGCAATAGTTTTGTTTGGGAAGAGGTTTCAAGCACGGTCAATTTGCGGCGTTTGGAGGTTGGGGTAGCGTCTTCTTCCAAGACAGCATCCACGACTCGATACGTCTCTCGTGATGATTCATTGTTATCATCCGGTCTCATTCGCTTCCATATGGCGGACGTGTTGCTCTTGGTTGGTTTGAAGGGTGCGGCTGTGGTGGTTGAATTTGTCTTTGTATTATTTGTATGTGTATTGGGTGGATGCAATCGGGCACTGTTTTGCATGAGTTCCGAGAGTTTTTGGTCTTCATCATCATCACCATCATCATTGGCAGCAGCACTGCTTCTCTGTCGTTTCATACTGCCATCGAGACCCTCCAATCGCAAATACGGCAAGGGATCTTCATTTCGTCGTCGTTTGATTCGCAAGACGGTTCGCGTGGTCGTTATCCTTGGGGCGTTACCATTATTATCATTATTATTGTTGGTATTGTTGTTAGTACTACTCATTCTCCTGTTTCGTATAGATGAAGAGAGGCTGTGGCAATACACAGCAGGCAGAGTAGCACGGTATGTTGTGTTCAAGGGTCTGAGAATTGTTTGAAAATGGTCAAAAGGAAGGAAGGGAGGACAGACCAAAAAGGTTTTTTGAAATTATTTTCAAAAAATGAAAAATAGTACTATCGCATGTAGTAACTACCAGCTACCAGTACTGGTTGTAGCTGCAGCAGATGTATTAATAACAGTACTGCAGTTCATTCCTTATATAGCACTCACCCATTCATGATTGTTCTCATTATACGGTATATTACTCAGCGTTTCTATTGAATATAAAATTGCCAGGAGGGCTTCAGCAGTCTCATTAGTTGACAACCCCTTCAATTGGTTCCGATTCATTTAGTCCCAAAGTTCGCTTGACCACACGAGTGACTGTCCTTCTACCATATGGTATATAGCTCAAAGAATACCAAAAGCTTGCCAGACATTGTGTGATCAACAGACAGATGAGAATAAATAGTTGCAGTCCCCATTGAATCGGCAAAAAGACGACCACCAAGGTGGAACCCAAGCAGGATAGGTAAATGATCGAAGTTTGTCGTCTCCTTTCGTCAAATAGATTCCTGAATTGTTTTCTGGGACCGCATAAGAAACAGGAAGACATTAATGATAGAATGTTTCCAAACGAATAGTTCAATGCAAATGGAACGGGGTAACCTTCAATCAACTCGATGAAGAACTTGAAGGACATGAATGTAATCAAATCTGCATTTAGTAGGTACGAGTCAATTGTGAGAGAATAAGTTGTGGATTGGTCGAATGGCAGGCATGGACTGATTATTTCCAAAAGCTTCAAACATAATACCAACACAACAATCGTATATCATTCCTCACTAACTACAGTAACTTACATCCAATGGTAAACGAGGCCGCAAAGCCAATCAAACGTTGTTGAAACGTCATGTCTGGACACAAGACCTCTGCAGCTCCGTCCAAGTACGAAGATGAATCGGTTTCATTGGAAACTTGGGATTCCAAATCTTCTTCGGATGTCAAACCAATCATCAATTTACTCTTGTTGATGGTATTCATCGAGGCTTGTCGGATGCCGTCCAGTGTCGGTCGACCCATGATGGTATTTTGTTGTTGTTCCAGGTAGAAAGGAGAGGAATGAACCGATAGTTTGGTTGTTGGAATTTGATCAACTGCAAGTGGGGTGACGAGGTGTATCGGTATAGAGGCAGAGAACCACAAGGGGAGGAGGAGTCTTGAAGGCAATGCCAAGAACGAATAACGAGGAGAGCTCTCTCTCGAGAGCGCACCAAAATTCAAATCTCAATGCCCGTATGTACGGCGTCCGTTGACGCATAGTTCTATTTTAGTTCGGGTTCTGCTTTCAGTTTGAGGCGTTTGGGGCATTGTCGTTCGCTTGTCTAGCTAGGATGGCGTTGTTGATGGCGGTAAGCTAGTACCAGAAGCATTCTCCGTCTTCTTTGTTGCGACACTGAACCAATGCTACTAGAAACTAGCTACCTAGTACCGAAAATGATATCGGTCGATAGTACCAAGGTATCCTTCTAAAGTGTTTTATTTAATATCATTGTATGCTATTGTAATGTGTCATGGCCAAAAAATGTCCCCGTAGCAGTGGTTGTAGTAGTAGGCATATCACCAAATGGTCTGCTGATGGCTTGGCTTTTTTATAAGCTTCCCGAAAGACCACGGATCAAATCGTACACGACACTAGCTTGCCGAACAGGATGTTCTTGAAGATTATTGTTTGTGCGTTCCAAGACTCTTGGCCAAATCGATAATGAATGCACCATGTCGTCAGCATGATTGCAAAACAAAATGCGGCCATTGGCATTCCGATCCAACAAATGTTGTAGTTTTGGCTGGGGCTTGGCAAAGGAGTGCCCGAGGGATTGTAGCTGGGTGTGTGCTTTAAGAAATTGAAATAGTCCACTTGCCATTTCTTTTTGGCTAGCCTCCAATTCTAATATGGGATTGTCATCTATGTTGAGACGTTTCAGCCGTCGTGCCACCTTTCTGGACTTCAACAACAAATGTAAGGATGTGATTTCATTGTCTTCCACATCCAAACTGACCAGTTGTTTCAGAGCAGATAGTCCTGTCCACAGGGTGGAAAATGCTACATCATCCAATCCGAAATATCTCAGCCCGAGCGATTGAATGGATTGGTTGCTCTTTTTCAAGATATCCCCAAGGTTGTCCAACAGTACTTGACGAGAGGCGACGCGTGGGTCTGAAAGAGTCAAGGCAGCAATTCTACAATGGGAGGAAGCGAGTAGCGAGCCGAGTGCCGCAACGCTCGAGATTCCCCAAGAAGAATGTGTCACGCTCAGCGTTTCCAAAGTTGGATTGTCCAGCAGCGCTTGGAGCATTTCTTTTGTCCACGCTTCTGTGGGCAAGCTCCGTAACGATAGCGACTGCAATGTGTGATTGTCCTTTAGTCCTTGGAGGAAACCAAGTGGTGGTGGGCAATGTTGGTTCAATTCTTGACGACCAAAACCAATGGATAGGGTTTCCAAACTTTTCGTTTTCCTCAATCCCTCTCCCAAAATGTCCAAGGAAGTGCCGGGTACTTCCAGAAACAAGTTTATTGCTTTCAAGTCTTGATTCAAGATTATTGCATCCTTCAAGGCATTTAGTGTCAATTCATTGACTGGATCATTGACAATGGAATATACGGCCAACATTCGAAAGAGCCTATGGTGACAGGCCGCTTGGACCACGGCTAAATGGTTTCGATCGGAAACATCGTATTCGTGAAAGATGAGTCGCACAAAGGAACATCCCTGGTTGGAACAGCATACAATCGTCTCGATTAGATCTTGAACTACTTGTGATATTGGACCATCGGGCCAAATCATGAATGCAACATTATCAAGCGTTGCCAAATAAGTTGAGTGTCGTTGCAAGAGTCGCAGTTTTTGGGAAATGGCGATAGGATCTTGAAAATGGCCACCAATGTCAAAGAATAGAGAGGTTGCATGTTTCCTGAGTGGTAGCAAGTCGGCGGTGGTGATGGTTGTATCATTCATCATGGTGGTTGACAAGTGCAAGTGAAACATATTGTGCAGAGAGAGATTCACTCACTCCAACTCTTTGGCGATCCATCGTGTTTTATTTCGTTTGATTTTTTCATCGCGTTCGTGGTGGTTTTGCAAAGAAGGGGAACGGAGAATAGGAGTAATAATTCCACACTGAAAATGAGATGGATAAATTATTGTAGGATTCTCATCATAACATAACACAATACCATTGAATCCTGAATCATTCTATTACTAGTACTACAATTCTTCATTCGTTTTGCCCTTGTCCTTGTCCTTGTTGTCTCGGACCACTGGCATGGGAATGTATATGCTATTGTGTACCCACAAGGGAAGATCAAAGCAACTGTTTTGCAATGGTGGGTGATAGTAGGTGGTGGGTGTCCCCCGTTCCACTATTTGATCATAACGTTCTTGAATGGCTTGCGGACTACTGGCTGCCGATGGTGTCTGTTCGGCCAACAAAAATCCAATTTGCCCGGTCGGATACGAACTCGTCAAGATGCTTCCATATCGAGTTCGTTCAAAGCCACAATTGGTCATTTTGTCCCGCCATAAGGAAATTCCATGCAACGAAGAAGGTATGGTAAAGGACTCGGCTTGGATCATGAGGATTCCATTTTCCGTCAATATTTCTTTCAGGGCACAAAAGTGCGATTCTTCGTACAAGGCCCCGGATGGCATGGGGGTAATGGTCCCATCTTCTTCGACTTCAAAGGGATCCGAAGAATCTTGAATAATGACATCGTACTTTTCTGTCAAGTTTTCAATAAACTTGGCGCCATCCTGAATGTGCAACTTGACGCGTGGATCCTTCCATCCCGTGGCCCATTGGGGAAAGTGTAATTCGCAAGTCTCAATGACATCCTTGTCCAAATCGACGTGATCCACATGTTCGACACTCTCATGTTTCAAGACTTCCGCCAAGGCATATCCATCACCCCCGCCTATAATCAATACTCGTTTTGGACTAACGTGTTGAAACATTGGCACATGGGCCATCATTTCATTGTAGGAATCTGCATCGCGTTCTGTCAATTGCAAGGCGTCATCTAATATTAGCACCTTGCCATAAAATTTGGACTGATGCACTTCAATGGTTTGAAACTCTGATTGTTTCTTGTACAGCAACGAGTTCTTGGTAAGCTCAATGGCTTGGTAAAAACCAATGTTGGTTTCCCACTCTCCGACCCGGTTGGCGGGCGCCAAATCGCCATAAATGGTGGTTTGATTGAAGAGTATGTTGTAGATGGCCAATAATTTTGCAGCCATTGTTGTTGATGATGTGTGTGCGTGTGTTTTGTTAGTGCGTTGTAAGTGCGTTGTTGTTGTTGTTGTGTGTGCGTGTGTGTGTGTGTGTGTATTTTTCGCTGCCTTGCTTTGATTTAATCGTGCAGATAGTGTAGTGTCTGCTTGTCTTGTGTGTGTCGAGGAAATATGCTCTTTTGGTTGGAAAAATAAAAAACATGACCGCGACAGTTGAGAATTGAAATAAATATCATTGTTCGCGCCCAGTTCAACAACGACGTCTGGGATTCGCTCGTCACATTTCAATGCTTTGAAAAAGATTTGGTGCGCGATATATAAATGAGAGTGCACTGTGGTACGTATGAATATCATCTATCATCTATCATCTATCATCATTCATCATTCATCCGCAGACGTCACTGCTTCTGCAATATTTAACAGCTCGTTGAAGGGAATTTGAGATAGCAATGACTGACAATTTGTTACCATGGATTGAGGCAACCTACGGACAAGAAGAACCTGCTCGAAAAATTCTCTTGAAAGCGAGTAATTCGTATGCAACCAATTCTGAACAAGTCTCTCATCTTGCAAGCCTCCCTGACAATATTGACTGCATCAAGGTTGAAGACACGCTCATAACTTTGAGTAATGATGCTCTCGATAAGCTGCTCAGGCTCCTGCAAAATGCTCCCAGAATCTGGAAATCGATTAGTCTTCAGGAACGACGCGAAAATGCCTGAAAATTGAATGCAAATTGTCAGACATAACAGTGTACTCTTGCCTAGCGACAGGCCTTTTGGCCGATGATGGCATTCAGGAACTACAGTTGCATCAAGCTGAAACTTTGGAATTGGATGCCCCACAAGTATTGGCGGAAGCCATGGTTAGCACCACTTGTCTCAAGCGATTGCATTTTGTAGGCGACGATTTCCAAAACGAGCAAGTATGCTCCGCATTGGTGGAAGCATTGAAGAGAACGAAGTCTTGAGGAGCTGAAACTCAAAGTGAATGGTTTCGGGAGCGATCATGACAGCCTACCGGAGCTCTTGCGCACCTTACCAAACCATTCTCGCATCCAGTCATTGACTCTTACTAGGCAAAATCTGTCAGAGCATGTCATGAGTTTTTTGCAAGAATGATTAAGTCGTGACGACTGCAGATTGCAAGAGTTACAGATTTTTGGCGCATCACACTTGCCCGCATTCAGCACGAGTACGCCTGGAAGGAAAGTGTTTGAGAACAGAACCTTGCAACGATTTGAAGAGATATTTACCAATCTTTCAAGCGATGACTTGGAAGGTGTTTGTAATGTATTTCCAAACTTGAGCGTTTTGTCACTCTATGGCAACACAATTTGTGATCTATCCTTGTTGGAATCTATGTTGTGCAAGGAGGACTGTAAGATCCAAGAGTTGGATCTACAATGCAACAAAATCAGCCACGAATCAACCATGAAATTTGCTACCTAGCTGCAAATGATGAAGAGTCTTAAGCGTTTGTACTTGAGTTTCAACCCGTTTCTTGACGAGACATCTTTGCCCAAAGGCAGAGAACAAATCCAGTCGCTTCAAGCGCTTTGGAAAGGGGTGAAACACAGCAAAAGCCTACAAAAACTCCAAATGAATTGCTATTGCGATGCGAGGGAAGTGTGTCATACACTGAAGGTAAATTGAGGGGGTCGATACGGCATTGAAGTGGAGTCTGCAATCCGTTCCATCTCACTTGGCTTGTGGCCTTTGATCTCCCATCGTGCTTTGTCCATCAAATACTTTGCCGGGATTAACTTGCTCTTGTGTACATGTCTAGAGCCGACTGATACACGTCCAAGGGCTGCAGTTGTGTTCTCCTTACTCCAGGATCATGCCAACATCTTTGAGCAATGTGGTAGAACTGACGAAGCAAATGTTCCAGATCCTCCTATTAGACGGATCGGAGATTGCTGTTATCTACATGGAATGGGCAAAGCAAAAACCTTGCACGAAAACTCAAATTTCCCAAACCTTCACTGGATGTTTGCAATCCAGAAAGGCCGGTACAAAACCCACGTACAGAACTCATGCAGGATTCAGTATGGGATTTTTGTGGCGCTCAGACAGTTTGATAGTCCAAGCGCACAATTCCATGTTTTTGGATTCCCTGCAAAACCGACTCATAGGAATCCCCCAAATAAACGGACCAAATGGACATTTGTCCGTCTGTCCGATCGGACGTGTTGAACTGCTTTGATCAAGGAGTTTCCAATGAATGGTCCCCAAGAGAGCAATTCCAACACAATGCTGTAACAAAGTATGAATGATTTAATTGTAGGAAAGTATTGATTTTAAAAAAGGGTAGATTGAAAGAGGAGTAAAGAAGGATACGCGTCCATATCCTTTAAGGTAGTAGTGCTGATAAAAATCAGAAACAATTCCACTGATAGTGGTTTTGTTTATCTTGTAAAGAAAATAATTTCAGGTGGAGGATGGGACAAGTTTTGTTCATCTTGTGAAGAAAACAATTCATGTGGAGGATTTCAAATACCTTTTTGTCAATTTCACGCCTGGAGTTCCTTGTTGACCAATTGAGAGATTTCAAAATCTCACACAGCAGCTGAGATGTTCTTGGAATCATGTTATGATAAAAACAATAAACTTGAATTTGCCTGATTTGTTTGGAAACATGAGTTTCCGGACTGCGTCTGATCACAGAAGCTGCTTGTGCTGTTTCTTGGAGATTTGCCAGCTGACATCTTGACAATTTAAGCTTGTCATCTGAGTGTTGACCTGTCCAATGCGTTGATTCAGTGTTGGCAGTCCTCAAATTTCCATTTTGATAAATGGAGAACTGGAGGATTCTTATTCCCTGGATCTGGTCAGTGACCGATTGTGGAAATTGTGTGTTCCCATATGACTAAAAGGGCCATACAATTGAATGGTTCAGGAAGTATGGAAGCGCACACACCAATCTTCTAGACTATTCTGGGAAGTTTGGAAAGCTTTCTTATGGAAGCAAAACCGGACATTTTATCCCTTTGACACTCTGTGTTGAATCAATACAGAGGTCTAGGGAAAGAGCAACACAAATCCTATTGGGATCTGTGAATGTTTCCAGATCTGAAGGCAATACAATTCAGCTCATAATCCAAACAGAATCCTAAATGGATATGAATTAATATAGAAATACTGATGTATGGTTTGCTATAGCATCAACAGATTGTTATCAATACAGCAGCTAATACCCTAGCCGCGGAAGATCCTATTTCAGGAGAGAATCAAGAACTAGTGGCGTCAAGGCATCCACAGCTAGTTGTATTCTCATATTTCTGACATTCAGTGCATTGTTTGCAATGTCACTTTCCATGTGTTGGTCCATTGAGAACAACAATTGTCAAATGTAATCAACATCCTACAATGATGATAGGCTTGAGATTGTTGTTCTTCTTGCCACTGTGAAGTGGAACTTTTGCCTTGCATTCACCACCACTTTCTTCAGAAGGTTGAATATGATTTCCGTATGAATGTCCTTATCATTTTCAACGTAGGTAAACGGTGAGTTTGTTGCAGTAGGGGTCATAATGCTTTATCTTCACTGTTAGTGGTTCAATCTTTTCAAAACAAAGTCAAATGTGTAGCAAATGCAACAGTAGTTGTTTACTTGACTCTGCAGAGTATATCTCTTCGGTAAAAGCCTCTGGCTATACGAATAGTAATCCAACGTTTACAGGAGAGTTAAAAAGAGAATGATAGAGAGTGCTTATGTGGACCTGATGACTAAGGTTTAGTTCTGTACTCAACCAAAGGAGCTTCTAGAGTCCCAATACCTTGTGCCTATTCTTTGGGCCATTTCAGGAATCTATTGGGTACTAAATACGGTAGCTGCGAAAACGCTTGAAAAACGTCTTTGTCCTGCTCACTTATCTGCAATTGTTTCTGCCCCAACCAGTTTGAGACAGTATTTTTCCTCACACCAGTGTCGCAAACTTGCTTCCTGTGCGCCATTAAGACATGCCACGGTAGATTGCAACACCCCAATCAATCACCAATACCTTGATATCTTTTGTCATCTTGTCTGCAGTGGTAGGCACAATAATGTTGCTAGGACGAACGTCGAGATGATACACAGAATTTTTGTGTGCAGCGTCCAGAGTAGCATGCACATTCCTGATGACTGATGGTAGGCACTCCTTGTACCCTTCCGACTTCCAGTTGAAAGCGTTGGCAGGTTTACCAATCATCTCATTGAGAATCAGGCCATATGTCTTGCTTTGGAAGCCATTCATTGCGATATCAAATTCTTGTCCTGCGCTGCATAAAGGGATGTTTGGCACTGTCAGCCATTCTTCCTTTTGTTTGTTCAAGCGGCGCAAGGTTTTTGCCTCCTCCTTCAACGAAGGTAACGCCCCGTGCGAATTTGGTATCTTCAGAAAACACTCTGGCCCCTCCTGTCCGACAGTAGTCTTGCTAATTTTGTAAACGCTTCCAAATGCTCCCGAACCCAAAAACCTGCCAATGGACATCCTGATCCTTGCATTATTCTGATTCTCGTCTTCATGGATATTTGCTTTGATAGTGGCGATGTCATGCTTTGCTTCGGACATTTTGTAACTAGCACTCAGAGCAAGTGCCAGCATTTCAAGGCCCTCTGTAGAAAGCAAATCAAATGCTTTGGTCTTGCGAAACAACACTGCAACATCTTCTGTTCCAACGTTTTGTAGCGATGCCTTTACAATTTTGACACTTTGGACAACGAAATGGCGACCCCATAGAGCTCACAATCCACACCAATGCCAAGAAAATTGAGGCCTCCCCGCAATCGCTTGGCAAAGTTTCCAATTATTTGGATGCCCACCATTTTGATTTCTGTTTCGTCCTCGTTGAAAGTATTTCCACACCGCTTGACTTCAACTATACATTCAATCATGCTTGGCATGGCACAGAAATGGTTCTCTCGAAATTTATGAACCAAGGAGTCCATTACGCGTTCCTTGTCATCTTCTCTTTCCCGTCGTACTCTCTGCTCCTTTGAAACATAAAGAAAACCGAGATCAACAATGTCAAGCACCCGGTAGATGATGGCATGAATTATTGGCTGAACAAATGCAGTCTCGCTCCATTTTCTAACCTTGAGCTTTTCGTCGCTGGCGGCTACAACGCTTCGATCGAGAAACTTGGAATCGAGAATATAGTTGCCAGGATTTTCAACTCAGCGCCCTTTTTTTCCTCGTTCGTATCGCCAGTAGATTGCTCGTCCAAACATAATTGATCAAGAAGTCGCACTCCCATAATCTCCATTGAATTCAAGTATTCATTTACTTTATTCTTGGGGCCAACCAGCCTTTTTCTTCAGGTCATTCAAAAAATCCTGCTCATTCTCCACCATTTTGAAACCTGATTTTTGCGGGGTTTTCCGAGGCACTCTTGGGTTACTGCTCTCCACGACAGCCTCTTTCGTTGACTGCGGGTCGGTTTGGGAGTTGGATTTGGTTTTCGTTTCATTACCCCAACTGGCGTAGTGGCCGAGTGTATCTTGAAGGGATGTGTGCCTTTCACCAATAAACTTTACAGTTGCCAAGATGCCGTCCCCCAATCTCATTCCAATCTCATCCGTTTTTCTCTGAGAGCCCTTCGATCCGATTCCAATCTCATCCGTTTTTCTTGTTGAAGTCTCAGCAATAGCTCACCGTCTCCGTTCGAGGTGTCTTCTAGTCCGCGCTTTTGACTTGACCCGCCACACTACTTCTGGTGCTTTCTTCTAGACTCCGCTTTTGCCTTTCCTGGCTACAAGTACTTCTGCCTTCATCTGGATCTTGACTACTAGCTGATCGAGTTTCTTGCTCATGTTCTGCTTGTTTGGATCGTAGTTCTTACTGCTCCGAGGCTACTTTTTTCATTTCTTTTTGCAAGTTTTCAAGTTGTTCTGCAACATCCCTCACGACTTCCAAAAATGGATGGCGCTTATTTTCATCTTCGTTGCTGAGGTCGACTCACTCGGAGCGTCGACTCAAGGCACTCAGTGACGCAAATTTCCAAGAATAAGTTATCCAAGAATTTCTCACTGGTAAGGAATGATTTTAAATCATGCAATCGCTTCGTCCATTTTGCCGAAGTGGATGAGGGAGAGCACTCGCTATCGTGCGCATCGATTGTGCCATCTGCGTGGCTGAAGTGATTGGCTTTATTGAGTGTG